GGCCCTAAATGAAGAGCTGGCTGTCCTTGTTGGGCCTGCATAGGACTGTGCCTCAAAAGCCCAAGACCTCAAGTGTTAGGCGCTCTTTCGCTCCAAGTCTGGCGAGCGATTCTTTGAGTGAGTCCTGCCCCCTGCCCTAACCCCTAAACCCTAAACCCTAAACCCTAAACCCTAAACCCTAAACCCTAAGCCCTGCTTCAGGGGGCGATTGGAGCTTTGGCAGCCAGAGGGGGTGGGGGGAGGGGCGCACGCCGTATCAGCAACGACACGCTCAGACGCCATCTTCTCGCCCTGAAATCCTTTTAGTCTTTCATCTAAACCCTAAACCCTAAACCCTAAACCCTAACAATCCGAATTCTCTCGCCCTATATCACAAGCCCTGACTTCATTGCTCCTCAGCTCAGGCATCGTCTTCGCAGTAGTGCTCTGCCTCTTCCCACGGGGGAGTATGCCTCTGAGCCTCGTTTGCCTGGCCTTCACGGGCGCCTTTGCCTGCAAGGGAGGGCCCTGAACCCTAAACCCTAGGGTTTAGGGTTTAGGGTTTAGGGTTTGGGTCCTTGTGCGGGGTCATTGAGACAGGGGGGGAGAGAGTCCATACCAAACAGGCGACCCACCGTAGGATCGGTATGTTGAACAGCTCCCCTACACAAGGCCCGTCCTGCAAAAGCACACAAACGGGGCAGAGACTCTGACGCCTCTTATCTAAGGTCTGTTTGCTAGTTTCAGGAACATTCCCCAAACCCCAAACCCCAAACCCCAAACCCCAAACCCTAAACCATAAACCCTAAACCCTAAACCCTAAACCCTAAACCCTAAACCCTAAACCCTAAACCCTAAACCCTAAACCCTAAACCCTAAACCCTAAACCCTAAACCCCAACTCTAAACCCTATATGCCTCTGTCTGAGGCGTCGGGGTTGGGCCGCTTATCTACTTGCCATACTGCTCATACAGCCGCGCCCTCAGAGCAAACTGATCCACCACGTCTTCGTGCAAGTTCTTAGGGTTTAGGGTTTAGGGTTTAGGGTTTTTGGGGCAGCCTATTTAATTACGGTTTAGGGTGCAGGGTTCCGGGCTTTGAGAAGCCGCCAAGAAATTCTGTTGATGGTTGTTTGTTCTTCTTCGGCTCCTGATGTTGGTATCGATGTTGATGCAGTGGTTGCTGCTGCTGTTGCTGCTGCTACTGTTGGTGCTGCTGGTGCTGCTGTTGTTGTTTCTGTTTTGTGTGTGTGTGTGTTTGCATTGCTTACGCTGTTTATGCTGTTTGTTGTTCACGTTGCGCGCGTTGCTCGCCTTGCTTGTTGCCTGCATTGTTTGTGCTGTTTGTTCCTGGTTGCGTCCGGGCTTGCTTTCTTTTAAACGCCTCCTGTTGGTGCTGCACGTGGTGTACTTAGTGTACTAAACCCTAATGCAACCCTAAACCCTAAACCGTTTGTGCTACCCACGCAAAGGCGTCGGAATATTCACTAGTAGTATTCCCTTATGGTCCCTTTTTGTTTATGCTATAATAACCCCCAAAACCCTATTCTAATTGTGCAGGCCACTATATTAGTTGGCCGAAGGCCTAATGCAACCCTAAATCAAACACTTAAAACCCTATAAACCCCCTAAACCCCAAACCCTGAACCATTAAGAAGCTTGGTGTGTTCCGCCTTATACTCGCAGTCCTTAATAGGGTTCTATTGGGGGGGGGGGGGTATTATAATCTTTCAGGCCCCAAACCCTAAACCCTAAACCCTAAACGTTCAGGGTTGAGGGCTTAGGGCTTAGGGTTTAGGGTTTTATTAGGGTGATCCTGATGTTGACGATGATGCCAGTGCAGCAGCTACAGGGCACGATCCTGGGGCCAGTTCTAGTAGCTTAGCGTCACTGACTTCAGAGGTTCATGTGGTCCCTCAAGGAAGCTCCCGGTCCCTAAACCCTAAACCCTAAACCCTAAACCCTAAACCCTAAACCCTAAACCCTAAACCCTAAACCCTAAACCCTAAACCCTAAACCCTAAACCCGGCTGAGGTGCTGTGGTACCAAAGTCGCAGAGGGCCTTCTGCATCGCCACCCTGGACAGCATCTCCCAGGCCTATAGGGTGTTTAGGGTTTAGGGTTTAGGGTTTAGGGTTTAGGGTTTAGGGTTTAGGGTTTAGTCTCCCAGGCCTCTACTTGGAGGTTCATGGTACCTAGTAACCCAACCATTAGGGTTTAGGGTTCGGGGTTTAGGGTTTAGGGTTTCAAACTATAGCTGTACTGACAACCCAATTATGACCCTCTCAGTGTACTTAAGGGGGCTTCTAAGCGGGTGAGAACTACACTTAGAATTTGGGTTACTAAGTACCCTGAACCTGCAAGTACTTTGAGGGGGCTGTGACACGGGTCAAAGGAGCCCCTATTTGTCTGCTTAGGGTTTGAACCCTAAACCCTCAACCCTGAACCCTAAGCCCTGAATCCTGAACCCTAAACCCTAAACCCTAAACCTAAACCCGAAGGCGACGCAAGTTCTCACCAAGATGTACTTCGGCCATCTGCGTATCGCAACGCCGCACAGGGCAGGCCCACTCTTTAGAGGTTCTTGATCATGGGGTCTCCTAGAGGTTGGTTTAGGGTTTAGGGTTTAGGGTTTAGGGATTAGGGTTCTTGATCATGGATTCCCCCTACTACCCCACCCCTCCATACACCCCAGTGTAGGGTTTAGGGTTCAGGGCTTAGGGTTTTGGGTTTAGGGATATGACCCCCCCCCCCGCAGGTTTCCCCCATAATCAAGGCTACCTAAGGGGGAATAAGGGGGGTAGCATAGAGGGGGTAGTAGGGAAACCCATGGCTTGAGTACTGGAAACCCCAAAATCATGAAGAAGTCAATCTGACATCGTTCGCAACCAGTCTTTTTGTACACATGAGTGGACTATGTGGCCTGTGGACAACTGCCAAACTCACGCCTCTGTCGCTCACTTCATTGTTTCAATTTTCTTGATCATCAACATGTGTAGTTAAGATTCACTTTGGTTCTAATTGGGTTATAAGTAGAGTCAGATGTGGGTTCATGAAGCACCCTGATGGGGGCTCTCAGCAAGTGAATGCGGCGTGGAGGATTGCTGGAGCACATGAAGCATGAAGCACTCCAACTCTACACCCTACAGTCCGCACCCTAACCCTAAACCCTAAACCCTAAAAACCCGGCACTGTCAGCTTTGCACTCAAAAGAAGGCACCTGATCTTAGCAGTGGAAGGTCAGATCATGTACGACGTCGTGGGCTCTGGCTTAACCATCGCGGTTCTTGCCACAGGGCTGCTCTACACTCAGCTCGCAGGAACGGGCGACGAGGTGGGCAGCCCCATGTTCGTTAGGGTTTGGGGTTTGGGGTTTAGGGCCGGGTTTGGGGTTTCGGGCCGTTTAGGGTTTGGGGTTGAGGCGGGTTTGGGGTTTTGGGGTTTAGGGTTTTAGGGTTTAGGGTTTTAGGGTTTAGGTTTTTTAGGGTGTAGGATTTGTGGTTTAGGTGGTTGCGTGTCTGCAAGGTGCATGCAAACTCATGCAGCTTGTGTGCAGCCTTGCGCAGGACTCGCACTTCTGATGGCCTTGTCGGCAATGAGGAAGTGAGAGAGCACCCCCCAGCATAATATAGGGGTCGGAATAATTACGAATAGTACTGCCTGAGAGGATCCCTTTCTAGTATAATAACCCCCCCCCCCCCCCCCCCCCCCCAAAACCCCATTCTAACTTTTCCGGCCCCCAGATTCTATTCCAGACCGGTCTCGGTCACCCTCAACTTGGAACCCAAAAGTCTGAAGCTACCCCGAACCCCAAACCCCAAACCCTGAACAATCAAAATCTACCCCCTCCCCGAAACCCTACACCCTAAACCCTAAACCCTAAACCCTAAACCCTAAACCCTAAACCCTAAACCCTAAACCCTAAACCCTAAACCCTAAACCCTAAACCCTAAACCCTAAACCCTAAACCCTAAACCCTAAACCCTTAAACCTAAACCCTAAACCCTAAACCCTAAACCCTAAACCCTAAACCCTAAACCCTAAACCCTAAACCCTAAACCCTAAACCCTAAACCCTAAACCCTAAACCCTAAACCCTAAACCCTAAACCCTAAACCCTAAACCCTAACCCTAAACCCTAAACCCTAACCCTAAACCCTAAACCCTAAACCGACAGGGTTGAGAGAAGGCGCCCGCCAAGGGCGACCCCTCTTGAACAGATGGGTGGACTTTAGGGGTTTTAGGGTTTTGGCGCGTATTGCTCTAGGGTTTACAGGAAATCTTCGGAACCCTAAACCCTAAACCCTAAACCCTAAACCCTAAACCCTAAACCCTAAACCCTAAACCCTAAACCCTAAACCCCGGGGCTCAAGAGACTTGAGGGTTCCTCTGCGAAGTGGGGGAAGTGACAGCCCCATGCTGTGAGCCCGCGGCCAGAAAAAAAGAGTGCATGTCGGAGGCTCCGCTTGGAGGTTTGGGGTTTAGGGTTTAGGGTTTAGGGTTTAGGGTTTAGGGTTTAGGGTTTAGGGGTACTTACAAACCCAGGTATAAGTGAATGAGTACACTTTACACTCTTTGGGATACTATATATACGGCCCCATAGAACTGTTGGGCGGCTTCTGAACTCAGCAACTAAGGTGTAATTATAACCTACGTAGAAGCCCCTCAAGTGCCCTAATAGGGTTAGAATTGGCTAATAGGGTTAGAATTGGGTTATAAGGTACAGTTAGAACTGGGTTACTAAGTACCCTGCACCTCCAAGCGAGACCTTCAACCCTCAACCCTAGCTTTTGCAGCCCAGTAGTACGCTTCTCCCCCTTTACAGTAACCAACTCAAAAAAGGGTTGCCCTTATTACAACATGGTCACTGGGCTACCCAGTAGCCCTAGACCCTCCCAAAATCGCAACATCCCGCTAAATCCGCAGCCTTAGACCCTAAGCCCCGCAAATGCCCCAAAGAATCTGAGACCCTAAACCCTAAACCCTGAACCCTGAACCCTGAACCCTGAACCCTAAACCTGAGGTCTTGCCCGGGCGCTGGCTGAGCTCACCCCCGACGGCAGCGCATTAAGCCAGGCGGGTTATGGGGGTGAAATGGGGCCCGGGGGTGACTCAGGGTTTAGGGTTTAGGGTTTAGGGTTTAATTAGGGTTCAGGGTAACCCCCAAACCCTAAGCCCTACAAACCGGGCCCCAAAGCCTTGTAAGCTTTTGAGGTAGAGCGGGCTTAGGGCTTATGAGGTTTAGGGTTTCGGTCTTCTACGGTGCCCTCCTTCATGCTGCTCTAAGGGTAGTTACATGCGCCCTTCATGTGGTCCCCCTACCTCCTTTAATCGTTTCCCCTAATATTAACTCTAAACCCTAAAGCCTAAACCCTAAACCCTAAACCCTCTGCGGGATGCTGCTTGTTGGGGTTTGGGGCTGTCGGAAACGATGAACCCCAAACCCTAAACCCCAGGACCCTAAACCCTAAGCACTCTCTTACCAGTACTATACACTTAAACCCTCCACGATTTCGGTCAATCCGCGCACGTTTTCGGGTTTAGGGTTTAGGGAGATGGTTGAAGATATGCTTCCTTGTGCAAGAATGAGAGGGTCTGGGGTGCCCGAGCCCCTGTGTACTTCCCTAAGCCCCTAAACCCTGAACTCCCGTAACCCCTAAACCCCCAAACCCCTAAATCTAACGTCAAGTGCCTCACCGCCCTAAACACTGCACTGAACCCTAAACCCCAAACCCTACACCCTAAACCTTAAACCCTAAACCCTAAACCCTAAATCAAGTAACCCGGAACCCTACAGGTCCGGGAGCGCCTTCGACCCTCAACCCTAAAGGCTGCACCCCTCGATACCCTAAGACCCCCCAAAGCCCCCCCCAAGCGCCCCGAAGCCCTACACCCCTCCCCCAAGCGAAAAAAACAATCCCTACACCCCCTCCCCCCCCTCCACCCGCTAAAATCAAAAACATAAAAACAAAAAGCAACAGAACAAAGCTGAATACTAAAGCTGCAAACCCTAAACTCCCCCCCCCAAACCCCTACACCCCAAACCCTAAACCCTAAACCCTAAACCCTAAACCCTAAACCCTAAACCCCCAAACCCCCAAACCTCCAAACCCCTAGACGCCAGCCTTGGCAGGAGGCGCTGGAGGAGCGAGTGCAGGTGGTCAAGGCTGCAGGTGCCTGTTTGGAGTTCAGGGTTTAGGGTTTAGGGTTTAGAGTTCAGGGTTTAGGGGGTTTAGAGTTTAGGGTCTAGGGTTTAGGGTTTACTAGCAGTCCTTAACAGGGACTATAACAGGGTGTACTATAATCTCTCTTAAGGACTGTTAGTATGAGCAGGTTAAGGGGCGAATTAGGGTTTAGGCTTCAGGGTTCTGGCTTTAGGGTTTAGGGTCTTTCCTGTCTCTCTCTGTCTCTCTCTCTCTCTCTCTCTCTCTCCCTCTCTCTTTATTTCTTTATTTCTTTATTTCTTTATTTCTTTATTTCTTTATTTCTTTATTTCTTTATTTCTTTATTTCTTTATTTCTTTATTTCTTTATTTCTTTATTTCTGTATTTCTGTATTTCTTTATTTCTTTATTTCTTTATTTCTTTATTTCTTTATTTCTTTATTTCTGTATTTCTTTATTTCTTTATTTCTTTATTTCTTTATTTCTTTATTTCTTTATTCATGTTTCTACTTCTTGATCTCTTTATTTCTTTACTTCTTTACTTCTTTAGTTCTTTATTTCGTTATTTCTTTATTTCTTTATTTCTTCATTTCCTTATTCCTTTATTCCTTTATTCCTTTAATCCTTTATTCCTTTATTTCATTACTTCTCTATTTCTTTATTTCGTTCTTTCCTTATTTCGTTGTTTATTCTTTCTTTCTTTCTTCCTTTCCCTTCTGCGCTAGCCTTAAGAGGAAGCTTGACATGAAGTTTAGGGTTTAAGGTTGGCATGTTCCGACTTTTTTTCTAACAGTCCTGAGTAAGGATTATGGCTCCCTCTATTATTAGTCCCTGTTAGTATAAGGGGGAACATCCCAAGTTTAGGGCGTTCAGTTGGATTGGTTTTAGGGTTGTGGGGTTTTAGGGCTTTTGGGGTTTAGGGTTTAGGGCTTTGCAGAATGAAGCTTGGCTTTGGGGCAGTTGGGGTTGTGGCTGTTAGCTTAGCGGTGGGGGGTGGGGCGGGGGGGGGGGGGGGGGGGGGGGGGGGGGGGGGGGGGGGGGGGGGGGGGGGGGTGGGTGGGTGGGGGTGGGGCTTGTCCTTACGTAGATCTTCTTATACATTCTACATTACATGTATATGTATATAATGAATAAAATAAATAAATATATATATATATATATATATATATATCTGTTTATCTATTTATTTATTTTCTGTTTTCAATGAAGTATTAACTTACGTGTTCAACGTGTGTGTATACTAGAGAGGTTACGTCCAACAACCCAAAGTATGGAAGATGCCATTACCTTGGTCAGGCAAGTGCTGGAGCGTTGCGGACGACCGAGCAGACCAGCGCACCACCAGCAGTTAGAGCCAGGCACGTACCGCTTGCCTCAGAGCTTCCATGCCACCCCCGCAGCCATTCCTTTCCTAACATCGTCTCCTACACCCTAAACCCTAAACCCTAAAGCCCTAAACCCTATGAACCTCTAAAGCCTTGAAGAAGCTAGATTAGCTTGTACCGTGCCTCCTCTTGCCCTTGATGCTTGATGCTTCAGGTGCTTCCAGGCTTTGCTTAGGTTTGTGAGGCTTCAGCGAAGTATGGGGGGGGTTATCCGGCATTAGGGGTACCCTTTTTGGCCGTCCCTTCAAGGGGATTCTGTTCTATTTGGCTATAGAAGGGGTACCCCTATTTTGGGAAATACCCATATGAGGGTTATCCGACATTAGGGGTGCCTTCGTGGGTCCGACTATTTTTAGGGATCTAGGTTGCGGGTCCCCTAGTTTCGTAAATCCCCATATGAGGACTTCTGCTATGATGTGAGGTTGAGCCTAATTAGTAGCCCTCAACACTAAACCCTAAACCCTAAGAAAAGGGAACGAGTGATTTAAGAGTATTTACGGGGGGGGGGGGGGGGTACGGGGTTTCGGGTGTTTTGGGGCTCGGGATCCAACATTGCGGGAGAGACTTGCGCAGTTTTCTGGTCCTCAACCTTAAACCAATTAAAAGGTGAAAACCCTAAAACCTGAAAACCCTAGAACCTGGAAACCCTAAACGCTGAAACCTGAAAACCCTAAACCCCAAACCCCAAACCCTGGACCCTGAACCCCAAACCTTGAACCCTAAACCCTAAGACGCCAGACCATGCAGGGCAGACAGAGTGATCCAGCTTTGCACGTTTTTTGCTCTGACTCGACCCGGGTCACGTCCGGTTTTCGCTGAGCACCTAGGACCCAGAGTGGGCCTTTGTTCCCTGTTCTTGGGGTTTAGGGTTTAGGGTTTAGGGTTTTTAGGGTTTAGGGTTTAGGGTTTAGGGCTACTAGGACCCAGAGTATTCCTTTTTTGTTGAAAGTAAAAAAGGAGCACCCATGCTATTCCGAGGTTGCTCATGGGTCTAGGCACAGCTTCAGCCCAGAAGAAGTTTTCGACATTCCGGCACGGGCAGGGGCTACGCAACAAGGCCTTGTTCAGCTGCGACTCTTATTGGGTAGGCCCTGGGGACATTTTACATTTCCCCTTCTTGGGGTTAAGAGGATCATCCTCAGGAATATTCTTCGCAGGTTTTTTAAAGGCCGTCCTAGCTTAAGAACCGTTCCATCGCGTGCCAGTTGTGAAGCCCACTGTGCTCCCCAAGGCTTCGATATCCCTTAAGCTAAGGATTGTCCATGAACGGCTTGGCTAAACTAGCCCCTCAACCATGTTTTGATCATGGGGTATCGAAGCCCCTGTGCTTCCCGGTTTCCGGCCTATGTTTTTTAATGGGATGGCGGCCATGGGGAAACATGCCAGGCTGGCCAGTTTGGAGTTCAGGGTTTCGAATTTAGGTCTAGATTTTGGGGTTTACGGGCCAGCACCGCCGACTGCGTCAAGTTTCAACCGTTGGGTGGACGAGTCTGGCATGGCAAGCTAGTAAACCCTAAACCCTAAACCCTAAACCCTAAACCCTAACCCCTAAACCCTAAACCCTAAACCCTAAACCCTAGCCCCTAAACCCTAAACCCTAAACCCTAAGCCCTTCTAATTGGGTTACTAAGTACCCTGAACTTCCAAGTGAAGGGCCTTTCTGCTTTGGCGCTGCGGCTTTTGGCTCGAAGCTTCTGTTTCGGGGGCACGGAAGGGAAGCATGGAGGCGGGAGGGTTTAGGGTTTAGGGTTTAGGGTTTAGGGTTTAGGTTTTAGGGTTTAGGGTTTAGGGTTTAGGGTTTAGGGTCTCTCTCTCTCTCTCTCTCTCTCGTTCTTATTTTCTTGGCCCAGAATCAGAATAGCAACGGGTCATGTGAGTATGGGGTTTAGGTGGCTGCATGAGCTTCGGCACGTGTTTCGTGGCAGCTTCGCCGTTTCGGCCCCCAGGAGCAAAGGTGCTTGCTTAGGGTTAGGGTTTAGGGTTTGGGTTTAGGGTTTAGGGTTTAGGGTTTAGGGTTTAGGGTTTAGGGTTTAGGGTTTAGGGTTTAGGGTTTAGGGTTTAGGGTTTAGGGTTTAGGGTTTAGGGTTTAGGGTTTAGGGTTTAGGGTTGGTCGTGTTTATAGTGCTTATAGTCTTTGCGGAGTTTATGGTGTTAACGGTACTGATCGTGTTTGTAAGTTTTATGGGTTGGATTTAGGGTTTAAGGGGCAAGGCTGTTTGTGTTCACCGTCGCTTTCACGGCTACCTTGCTACAGCAGGCAGATGTAACAGTGAAGAAGCACTGTACCGATACATTTTTGAGACAGCTGCTGCAACTTCCAGCCATCAACACGAGTTACCTGCGTCTGGATTTTGCCGCTACACCTCAGCGCGAGCACCTGAGACGAAGCAGGACCGAAGGGTTGATAAGGTTTAGGGTATCTAGGGTTGCTACCTGGTCCCTTGATATATGGCTCTTAAATGGGTATGTGCCCTTAGATACGCTATACAACCCACGGGCCCACACATTATTCCCTTTAAGGAAGGTAAGGGACCATATTCAGGGCCCATGTATTTTCCTTTAGAGGGTAAGAACGTGTTTGTGCAAACAGCCCGCAGGAACCGGCAAGACATCACCACCTGTCATGGGTGGTGGGGCAAGCATACCAGCCACTTGGCACCGTTCGCAGGGCACGGGGGCAGAGGCTTAGAAGGCATCGAATGTTGTGACCAAGTTAATAGTCAGAATCATTCAAGAAATCGTGCTGCCCCTAGAGAACATACTATACTAACCCCGACAACCCTCTTCCAATTAAGGGCCCTACACTAGGGTATCGCTCATGAAGGGGCATGTCGGTACGATGCCCTCTCGGTACATCTGACCATGATGAATGGCGCATTGAAGGGCGACATGTTCTTAGATGTGCCAGCAAGCAACCCTAAAACCCTAAGACCGTGTCCTTGCTGAGACGGAAAGCGCGATGGCCTTCCGCACAGTGCACGGGCATACGAGAAGGACCTTTCGAAGGGCTTAGGGTTTAGGGTTTAATTAGGGTTGAGCGTTTAGGGTTTAGGGTTTAGGGGTTAGGGTTGTGTTTAGGAGGCCCGTGGCCTTCGACTGGGACCTTCTAAACCCCCACGATGCCTCTCTCCCTTGTGCGTCGCGCAGGAAAGACTACGAGAAAAGTTTGCACAACGCCCTGATCAAGAGATTTGAGCGCGGCTCCTCTGCAGCTGAATTCACAGTGAAGCCGTGAAGCCAGGGAGTTGCAAGAAGAGTTCATGTTAATAGGCTTCTTGAAGCTGTTGACAATCAAGATTCTTGTTGTTGTACTAACAATACTTGTAACTTGAACTTATTATTCTAATAATAAGAATACTTGTTGTGATTATTCGTATTATGTTTGGTACTATGCTCTGATGACAATGGAACAGAGTGCCTCATTGATGTGCATGCTGGAAAGGTCCAGACCGCTACGAGAAAGTCGACGTGCTCGAGCTAGTGCTCCAGCAGCAAGCAACCCTCTAAACCCTAAACCCTAAACCCTAAATGCGCCATTCATTCAGGACCGACACTCCAACGCTGCAATCCCAGACATTCCCAGCCCACCCACTCACAGGCAGCCTTGACGCTGGGTGTGTGGAGGGGGCGGCTGGTGCAAGCCAGGGCCAGAAAGAGAGTGGTCCCAGTTTCAACCAGTTGCCGATTGCCGGCTCCAAAGGCCAGAATCCCGCGCCGGACCTCACCCAGTACAGCAACTTGTGAAATCTTGTGGTGCCAGCTGGGTTCATGAGGCCTTTCCGTCAGGTGCAGCTAGACAGCAAAGCGGAACCACAGACTCCAAAATACCCCCATTCCTGCAATCACATGAGGTTCCCAGTTGCAATTTGAAGTCCCTCTGTGTACCACAATGGAGATGTGCTCAAGCCCTATCAGTCTGCGCTCTGGAGCCTATAGCTGATAGGTTCAAGACACCTCCGACAGTCGGACCAAGACGCGAGGTGGCAGCACTGGTGGTCCATCCAGTGACCTGCCAACCACCGCAGCTGACACAAATGGCCCTAAACACTAAAGCCTAAATCCTAAGCCCTAAACCCTAAACCCCGAGAGCGGTTTCTGATTTTGAGTTAGTTGCCGGCTGCAAGAGCCACGTTCCTGCTCCCCCATTCAGGCACTTGCGATACCTCTGACATCCTTAACCATCCCAGAACCCTAGAGCACCCTAGCCGAAGCCTTAAACCCTAACCCCAAAAACCCAACTAAAACCCCAAACCCTAAATTTAAGAGCCTCCGGCTCAAGCCGCCGACCCCGCTGGAGCATAGTTGAGAGGTCTAAACCCGCTCGCATGGTTCGAAGATCATCCCAGCCTGCTCGGCAGAGTTCTGTGTTAGGGGCAAGCCAAAAAGACGGGGGGGGGGAGGGGGGGGGGGGGGGGGGGGGGGGGGGGGGGGTGGGGGGGGGGGAGGGGGGGGGGGTGGGGGGGGCTGATTTTGCTGAGGGCGCCCCTACCCCCCTATGCTGAACCGCCTGTTTACGCTGTGCGGGTGGCGCGGTCCTCCACGAAAAAATTGTGCACCGACCCCCCCTACCCCCGCCCGCGTTTTGGGGGGTAAGGACTCCTCAAACCCATCCAACACGCCGCCAGGGTTGGCGGACCCTAAACCCTAAACCCTAAACCCCCAAGAATCCCAGAAACCCGAAGTCCTGAGGCTCTTCAGAGCTCTGAGCAGGCCGCCCAGTATCAGGGCTTCGTGGATCAGGGCCGTTGGGCCGCAGACGAGGGGTTAGGGTTTAGGGTTTAGGGTTTAATTAGGGTTTAGGGTTTAGGGTTTAGGGTTTAGGGTTTAGGGTTTAGGGTTTAGGGTTTAGGGTTTAGGGTTTAGGGTTTAGGGTTTAGGGTTTAGGGTTTAGGGTTTAGGGTTTAGGCATAGTTTTGGGTTTAAGGTTTTGGGGTTTCGGGTTTGGGGGGGTTTGAGGGTTTAGTGGC